GGTCAGGGTACCATGCACCCATCATCCCAAGCCACTAGAATACTAAGTATACCTGGTCGTGAAGGTAGTCAACCCAACACGTCCTAAGATCCCCGGTCAGCAATATGTGAATTGCGTCGTCTACATGGACCTTAGTAGACCTAAGGTCAAAGAAAGAAAACTCTATCCTATGACTATAAGCTAGAGATTTAAGTGGTGGACACGTGCCAAAGTGGCAAGGACACCTCAAGAAAGGAGGAGAAGTGGAGGTCAGCTACAAATCTAGAAACGCTCCAAAAAAATGACTTGTGCCCCACTTGGTTGACAAGCCTTTTAACACCCTAGGAAAACTAGAAAATCATCTATATGAGCCAGTTAGGTTGGATACGCACGGAGGCTTCTCATCGAGACATGCAAATTTGAATGCGATTGTCTAAAGTGATCCTTAAATATTGTTGAGACCCTATTAATATGAGTGGGTTTATAACCATGCAATGCAAATTATTTTAAATTCAACCTGAAGGCAATGCAGGAAAGTAAAAGACAAATTTTTAAAATCCTGAATATTTTATTCCTCAAAATTCATTTTCCTTTTAATTTTATTAGGATTTTTGTAGAAAAAATTTAAAATTTTAAATCCTAAAGTTTCTATATTGCATCGTGAATCCCAGACAAACCACAAAAATAAAGATGGAGAAACAATCCAAGCATGCAATAAGGCATAAAACAAGCCCAAATCAAAATAATTTGAAAAGTTCAAGTGTCACTGGGTTTGCAACAGATCCAAAAAATGAAAAAGGCATCTGAACTCGGTAAATACATGCCCGATCCTGATTCTATACATCAATGTAAAATGCAAAATTAAGATATCAGACACAAGCATTAGCTCCTGGTCCCCGTCACGTGGTCCCTGTATGAAAGCACCTCAGAACCCGTGCCTGTATCTTATTTTTGCTATAGGACTATCCTAAAACTCTAAAAAGTACATACAGATAAGAGAAAAGACTTGACCTACAAGAAAATCATGAAACATATAATGAGTCGTGCTTGGTGGGGGAGCTAAGCAGCACCTGCAAACAGAGGGTTAGAAGAAATCATTACATGCTCCCTCTTTTATGGTACTTGTGTGTGTACACATATAAGACACGACTCCCTGCAAAAAAGCACCCTAACAAGCTACCATCCATATCAAACATGCAATCACCCCAAAAGTATAAAAAAAGAGTAATGCCGGCTAGGACAACTATGTCAGCAAAGAACAATAAACATGCATCAAAAGACTACCTAGAAACCTAATTCACAGCCTAACACATCATCTAACAAACTGCGTCCTAACCTAGCACCTAAGTGCACAGAGTAAGGTCTCCAACAACCATATGAATTTGATCGGGGTCACTACAATGGCCCCGTTCTAAAGATCTAAGGGATCTAAAGCACATCACGAGGAGGAAGGTGACACATAAAAGACATGGTCTTACATATGGCCTAAAATATATAATTTAAAAAGTAGGCATATAATATATATAAAAAATATTCATTTAGATACTTTTAAAATAACGAACCTATAATGTGGGTCTGCATCACATATGACACACATTAGAACCCTTGGATCCTTAACACAGTCACACTCTTGCCAACCCTGATAACTTAACTCACATTGCTCATTGAGATCAACCCAGCAATTAATGCTCATTAAGGCATCGCAACCGACACAAGGTCACTCTCTTAATCAGCAGGACCACCATCAAGGCGTATGACAAATATTCAAACATGAAAAAAGCCCACATTGTGATTGTTTGACCAAAGTACAAAAAAACCAGAATGGGTGCCTAGAGGGCAAAAAACACATCATGCAAATGAATGCAAGGATTCAATGCACATTCATACAACAATCTTAGAAAAACTTAGAAAATCTAAGAGATACTCCATAGTTAAAGCTATTGCTATGAAATTACATGCATCTCCTAGATCTGGGACAGTGATCATTTGGCATAGTTTTCTAAAACCTTCATAGCCTTTTTTTGCTTGGAGATTGAATTTCCAATTGCTCCCTATGGATGAAATTCTGAAGCTTAAAAGGCTTTGAATCACCTCTATTGTCTACTTTATAGACAAGAAGAGGAATGCTTTATCATCTTTTTTTCTTGCAAGTATTCAATACACATTCAGACCACAATCTCTGATATCTTCAAGATCTACCTCCCCTTGGATGGATACATCTCTGTGGATTGTTGCTTGGAGACTTAGATAAAGCCCAATACCAAGGCACATCTTTAAAATATGGCCCCTTACATTGTTTGTTGGTTTATCTGGAAGGAAAGAAACTACAGGAAACATCAGGAAAGCCACCACATTATTGACAATATTATAATCCATATTTAATTCCTCATGTCTAAAGTAATTAAGAATGCCACATCAAACAAAGCTCTTAATGGTATTGATAGTATTGTTGAAGGTGTTGGTCCCACTTCTAAGCATGCCTATCTGGTTTACTGAAGCAGACAATCCCCTCCTTTTATTGTATTTAATGTGGACAGAAGATATATGAAATGGAGTGTTTGTACTGGAAGTATCTTCAGAAATCTTGAGGGCCAACACAAGCTTCACATTTTTGCTCCTTGCTGGCATGTTAGTGCTTTCTTTTTAGAATTAGTGGTTATTTTATATTGCTTACTCATTGCTAAGCAAATGAAGTTTGAGCACTACTAATTGAGCTGGATTCCATGACACACTTATGTTGCATTGGGGAAATTTTTTGTGATGCGAAAGTATTCTTATCTGGAGGAAGATATCCAAGCTTCTACCCTACTTCACAATTCTGGTTACAAATTTTTAAGGAGGGCAACAAACCAGTGAATCATCTTGCTAGATTAGGTTCTTCTAAAACTAAAATAGATTTTGGGTTTAATGTTGATATTTAACTAAAGTTTTTTATTCATGGTGACATGCTTGGGCTCACTCATTTGTGGGTTCACTAGCCTCCTTTTGTAACTTTTTTATTGATCTATTAGATCTATTTCTGTTATATATATATATATATATATA